CGCTACTTCATCGAAGCTGGTTTGCGCCCGGCCGGATGCGCTTTTTTGCTTTCTGGTGCTTACGTCACCCTGCTCGTGACGTCTCGCTGCTCCATTGGACGGATTTGACACGTGCTTCAGAACGCGGGCACGCAAGGGCGTTCCCAAAGCGATCTCGACGCAGCTCGAGTTCCTGAAGGGGAAATAAAAGTTATTCTTACATTTACTTTTAAAAAATCAGTAACGATTTCACAGCAAAAAGACATGTGTATCACAACCTGTGGGTGGATATTTTTACAGATATGCTTTTACTTGCTGAAAAAGTATAAACTGTCAATTAGACAACAGAATGCATGAAGAAGATAAAGTAGTAAAGTTTATCAAAGATAGTATTGATAATTTAGAGGTCTTAGAAATTGCATATCAAAAATGTTAATTTCTATTAATTTCTAGAGTTAATAGGCTTATATATATATATATAACTTTGATGTATTGCAATCTTTTACCCATACAATTCTGAATGTGCAACTAGTGCTGAATTTTCTGCTTTACTTCATTACAGAGCCTTCAAAATAGAGTTGAGCATTGGCACATTCCAGTAAAAATAATATGATTCTGACATATGACGCAATAGTGCAACCTGAGTTTGAGTCCCGGCTCATGGTCATTTCTCGATCCCATTCCTCTCTATCCTGTCCAGTTGTTTCCTGTCTTTCTCTGAACTGTCCTCTTATAATGAAGGCAGCAAGGCCAAAAATATAGCCTAAAAATTGTACCATGCTAGTGTGCCTTGGTTAGCAGTCAGTGTCTAAATAAATAAATTATGAGGAAAAAGATGGACTCTTACTGTGAGGATATCAACAGTGAGAATAACATATTGCAATACTTTGAAATACTGAGGGAAAAAAATTAATTCATCCCTATTACGTCCAACATAGACTGAAACCATTGAGACTGGTCAGGAAAACAGATGTAGACGGTCATGAACAGTTTGAAACTTCATTTATGATTGTCATATCTCACCTCAGTCTTACATAGATCCCACCTGGACAGATTCGGCCAGGTCTACCTGCTGGTTTATGTTGTAGAAAAGGTCACCATGAGGAGCTAATGGCCATCATCACTGTGCCAAATTAAGGCTCATTAGATGGACCACATCCCGTGGGCGCTCGGTCTTACATCAGCACAAAGAAAGCCATTTTGACCTACAATGATTGCCTTGATTGCACCATCCTCTGCTTGCAACAGAACGGCTTGAATTCCCGATTCATTTGAGAATGTTTTTGATAAATGAATGTCCCTGTAAGATAAATTACTTGTCTGTCGTAGCACAAAATGTAATGTAACAGAGAGGGGGTGAAACTGGAAAGTGATGTATGTCCTTCATTGGACACAGAACATTTAGTTTTTATTAAGAGTTTAACACGTACACAATACATTAGTGGAGGTTCAATAGCCATAGCTTTGCTTCTCAGTGTATTTCACCCTGATGAATTAGCAACTCAGCACACCATGTAAAATGACAAAAGGAAATGAGCAGAGCAGCATTATTATGACGTGTTGCACCAGGCCTGGCGAGGCTGGGTAATGTCTTCGTGTGGAGGCTTGACGTTTATTACTTTGGCTAATGTTACCTGTGTGACCCGGGTTGTGGTTTTCTGCAGGGTGAGATGAGGAAGGCGCTGGAAATGTCAGCGTTAGCCTTGTTGTTTCATTAGAATTTGCGCTCTGTGCCACTGGCCCGTTGTGATAGAAAATGTCATAAACAGCCAGTCTTCTAGCCATTGATAATTAGTTTGTGAATATCACAAATTAGCTTAATTATGTGACATTGTGAGACCTCCTTTCTACGAAGTGTATAATTGTTTAAAGATTCTGTAAGTGATTTTTGTTTTGATGTGTCTGTGTGTATGTTTGTTAAATGTTCTGTACAGAAAATTGTGTAGACATGTCAAGCAACCTGATTTCATATATATAATAAATATTAAAAATATATTAAACACACACACACACACACACAGTTAACTGAATAAAGCTAAATATAAAATATATAATAAAAATAAATATAACACACACACACACACAAACAAAATTACATTTAAATATCACATATATAAACCAATTACAAATAGTTTTCGTTAGAAAGCTTAAATATAAAAAAATAAATGAAAAAATGTGAGAGCATGAAAACAAAAATGAACAAAAAAAAAATTAGAAATGTTGAGTTGGTAGCTAACTGAAATAAAATAAGTTTGTTGAAGTGCTAAAATTAACACTAAACACTAAAACACAAACGTTTTTTTTTATTTCAATTTAATGTCAATTTTTTAATTGACAATGATAATAGGACATTACTAATAATATATACAAATAAAAGCTAATTTAAAATATTAATAAATAAAATTAAAAGTACATAAATAATACTAAAATAACACTAGTTTGAAGTTTGTAAAAATGGTTGAACGTCTGAAAACACTTACAGCACATTTGGCTCAGTGTGTAAATAATACACTGACTTTGTTTCTAAAAGTAATTTTCAGGGTGTGATATCCTGAGGATCTCAAAACTTCCTGTGATGTGTAATCTATAACATTGTGCGATTTATGTTTTCTTGATGTATTGTTCAATATTAATCCTCAGAGAAAGCATCCAAGCAGTCTATCATTGCTATTGTTACCGAATGCAACCTGTAACGGCAGGTGAAAATATACACTCTCAACTTCATAACGAATATAATTTAATGTCATTCGCACCCTCAACTGGCCCTTTACCAAACTTGATTGTGTTTTCCTGATGATGAGCATCTGTGCAAGCATTCCAAGGTTGTTAAATTCAGATGAAATCAGAATTGAAGCTGTTGGGAATTTAATTCCTTCTGTTTTTGCTTTAAGAAAATCTACGGTATATGCAAGCAAGTGATGCTTCATGGCTTTGACGTCATGTTTGCTATTTGCACTTAACAAGTGTTTCCATTGAGTCTAAAAACAGAACAAAACCGTAATGAGAAACATGCAGAGGGAATAACTAATTAGCAAAAGTGATCACTTTAAAAATTGAGTTCAGTTCTGAAGGCTATCAGACATGTTGTGTGTGTGTGTGTGTGTGTGTGTGTGTTTGTGTATGATGTACAATGGTGTGGGACCTCCAGTATGAAGAGGGAATAAACAGCCAGCTGAGGCTGCTTGATTGCTCTGGATTGTGGGCGGAAAAGGATAAATTAGCAATTCATTCTTAATTACAAAGACCAGAAAAACACTGCAGCTAACAAATGAAGCAACAAAATTACTGATAGGGGTGCGCTCTGTTTCTGCGCTGCGCTAAAGAATCGTTCTCCCGCAAGTCGCAGGGCCAAGCTCTGATTAATGATGATTTCTCATTGAATCTCTCCAAACATTTATGAATCCAACCGCCTCGATGCTCCTTCCATAAATCCACGCGGGGGAGAAACATTTCCACCCACAAAGTCACGCAGATCTTTGATCCATAAACAGCGACGCGTACCCACCTGATCACGCTACCGGGGGTCGTCGGAATAGAGAGCCAGTTTGTCTCACATTTAATGCAGCCTATTTGCGAAGGCGGTTGTCAGTCAGTGAATGGCTGGCAGTCAAGTCACCGCATTCGGCCCGGCCGTAATAAAGAGTTGAGTTAAAGCCCTGGATACAGGGCCTGCCGAGCGTGTTTTGAAGTGCCATGGTCATTCAGCAAGAGGGATTTATGGCCTGCGGTCCATCAGCTCTGATCTTAAAAGGCTGTGATTAACAGCAGAGAGAGTAGAGATGGGATTCAGCACTGCTGTAGGCAAACCCTGACAAGGCCATACCACTCAGAAGCTTTTTACTCTGCCTGTTAACAAGGGGACTCACTCTCTCTTACACACACACATTGTTTTTCTATGTGGGGTGGAATATAGTAGCATATGTCTCTTTCAGGACAGAATAAGACCTTATTCAGATGCTCTTGAACCTATTTTTTTTAGCCCATATCATCTGAACTGTGTCTTGAAATTGATTGATATTTAAATTGACTGATATTTAATTCTGATTATTTAAATCTATAGATCTAAATATGTATTTAAATCTGACTACAATGCCTATTTAATATCTCTTGTGAGAATAATAAACTACTGTATTTAATCATATGTCCTTCATAAAAACATAAGTATAACTATTTCGGGTCCCAGTAAGTCCAGGTGTAAAAATATGATTAATGTAATGATTTTTTATATGCTAAAATGTTATATACTATATGTGTGTGTGTGTGTGTTTGTGTGAACTATAAACTATTTCATCATGTCCTTCATTTAAAAAAGAAAAGTTATTTGGGGTATCAGAGACTCCAGGTGTAAAAATATGATTAAATGTGATTAACTTTTACACACTAAAAATGTTATTGATGAAAAAAGTTGAAAGCAAACAGAAGCAATGTTACTGCATTGGATTAGAGTCTCATTTATGTGTATTTATCCCAGTGAATTTGGTATTGACACTCTTAAGTTGTTTAAACGTTTTATACATTTATTTCTCGTAATTTAATGTTCAGTTATTGAAATTACATTTTAGATCAGTTTCTCATTATGACATGAGTTGCTTACAATATTTATCAAACCTAGCAAAGTCAGTACACTCTAATTAATATTCATGGGTTAACCCTGCACGTGTCATAATGCACATGCACACGTTCGGCATCACTGACCCTACTTTGTCTTGAAATATGATCCCATGCCACTCAGGCAAAAGCAAGCACTTTTAACAGCATGTCATTAGCATGATCTCCCAGACCTGCTGTAGCGGAGACGTTTTGTCAGCTGTGTTTGGCAGAATATCTGTGTTCTACCAAATACGGATGCACAAGATTAGTATTGCACTCAGGTGCGTGTCAAAAGCAATCTGTCCGCTCACAGGGTTCGGAGTATGAAATTAAATAAGATACGCTCATTATCTCTTTGCACTACTAAAAGGTTTCAGGCATCGGAACAACTACAACCTGTCTCTAAAGTTTTATCTCACTTGCTTTCACAGGTGGAGAGCATGCGGCCACTGTAACGCATCCACTTCCTGCGGCCTTCTCCGACCTGCTGCCACACTTCCTGTTGGAGCCTGATAATGTTTATATCGTTAAGAACAAGCCAGTGACCCTCACCTGCCGCTCAACCCCTGCCACTCAGATCTACTTCAAGTGCAACGGCGAATGGGTTCACCAGGATCAGCACTTGATCGAGCGTGACGTGGACCCTGCCACAGGTAGACACTCTCAACACTCTCTCCGAGGTTGACAATAAAGCCGGCTGACCCGCAGCATTTATAAAATGACACTGGAATACAGGAGAGCCTATAAAGGATGCTTTCTAGATGTGATGCTCTTTCTTCTTCTGTAGTATAGCACAAACTACAAGGACTTCCTTCAAAGCAATTTTCAAAATGTCTTCTGCCCATATCATGAACAGGGCTTGCTTTGTGCTCAGGGATTGGTCTGTTGCATTAGTATCATGAAGGGCTGGATAAATTTGGATGTTTCTTGGTTTTTGTAGCAGAGGCAGCAATATTAATAATTAATCTGCAACAAATGTCAATTTTGTAATCTATTAATAATATAATTTAATAATAAAGCCAAAATCCTTTGCTTTACAGTGAATTTACCATAGTTACAAGATGTTGCTATGCATATGGAAAGCTTTGATAAAACTGCAGGAACAGCAGTGTTATATAAGTCTAATGTTCTGTTCTATTTATGAATAGTAATCATTTAGCTTAACCATAGGCTGTTCATGGTTGCCAAGCAACATTATTGTCAAAGTTCATTCTGTAAACTTGGCAAACTAATTTGTAGGTATTAGGCTAAACATTGGTATACGATGACGTCATAATCTCTACAGGGGCAATATAGGGTCAGATGTTCTCGTATGAATAGCTTAATGAACAATATTGGCCTTAAATAATGTATTGTAACCTAATGAAGAGTTTGTGACCCATGATAAATGATAACAGATTGAAAGCCAGATGTTCTTTACTGACATATTAGGTTATCACGTGCAATGACTGCAGAAATGACCTTATATTTGACAGGAGAAACTGTGCGAAGTCGAGCGGCTCCACAAAATGAAAGGTAATATTTGAATAGAGTAAATCAAACAACGCAAAGGTATCGGACCATTATCAGAATTACCGAATGCTTGTTTGGCATGTTTGGTGAACGACACCATATATTCGGAATCATTTTCGCTTTTAGTTAATATCTTGTAAAAAAAAAAGCTAAAATCAAAAGTCTGAAATGAAGCTGTCTTGCGCTATTATACAGGCTATGACCCCCATAGCACACATTTATCATTTTACGTTTCATTTTAAATTCTTTAATTAATCTCTTTTTCTGTTTATTTTAGCTGCTTAATATATTTTGGCTGTTAATTCAATTGTAACATTGCCATTAATTTGAACGTTTGATGTTGTTGTCACTGTAATTACATTTCAAACAGCTGTTGCTAGCTCTCTAATTTGGTTGCCACCAGTTTTGTTTTACATCTCTTTATATCACTTATTGTCACGTCTCATTTGCTCTATAATTTAGGCTGTAGGAAAATATATCAGATGTTTATCTACCTGTTAGCACATGTGAGGACATGTTCAAGCTGCATGCAGTGCAGTTGGAGTTGCTTTCTCTTAACTTGAACGTTGTTGGCATTGAGCAAGATCGCATACTCTGCAGAATCATATGCAGAAACCTTTTCAGTAGCATTCGGTTATTGCTAATAGCTTAGCATGGGGCAAATGGGTTAAGAAAAGCTCATTTGATTAGCTTGAAGAAGATAACATGCTACATTTTAATCAGGCATTGAGGAAGGCAGTTTTAGAACACTGTCAGGGCATCTGGTGTGAATATAGTGAACAGTCGGTGCTCAGTGCTGTTCTGCGATGCATTCTGGGAATTTCTAGGGAGAGAAAAATGACTGGCTCCCTGGGCAGTATACGTATATTCTATTGTACTAGAGAGTGGATTGAAACAGCTTATATTAATGTTCAAAGATACTGTGTTTCTTGGCAACTATAAACAGCCCCTGCGGTTGGTCCAATGACTTGGCAGAAGAATTGTTTATTATTATTAATATACATTCGTTTTTCATATTGCCTTTGCTGCTATTTTATGAAAACAATAAGTCACTGCCGCATGTCCCAAAATACTTGGTTTTATGTCTTCAAATGTTGCTCAATAAGATTTTAAAGCTGGAACTATCTGTTTTTTTAAATTATTTTAAAACATCAGCATTTAAGTTGAAGTTTCAGTTCGCCCAAACAAGTTATGCATGGTTTCTCTTCAGTTTGCGATTTGTTTCTTGTTTTTAAAGACAGCTTCATGTTGCAGTTCCTCAGACGTTTAATCACTCTCCCCTCTGAGAGCAGTTTAAGAGATGTAGCCAGTGCTGTAGCCGATTTGTTCAGCTGTACTTGTTCTTATGTGGACATGCTGTGTTTTCTGTTATTTCCCTCCGTCTCGTGATTGATTGGGATCTGCTGACAAGTACTCAGCTCGGCTTTCTACAATCATATTGTTCCTAGCGTCAGTAGAATAAAAGAATTTCCTAAAGGGTTTTCTGTGTCTCCCGTTCGCTGTCTTCCCCTCGTTCTCACAGGAGGTGGAGGCGGGGACGGCTCTTCAGCACTCAGCAAGCGGATGTTTATGTGTTTGTTTGACACTCCTTGGCAGAGGCAGCGTAGGACATAGGGATTCACGTCACGCGTGTGCTAGGATTCAGAAGTGATCTGTAACTTAAAACCTCCAATTCACAGCATGACAGCTGATTGGGAGAGCTGACATGCGGATGACATGCTGCGGAGCAGCTGCAACAATTTTCAGGGGAATATTAAAGCATTTCATTATAATAAATTAAAAAATTAAAAACTTTATGAAAAACTTTCGGTTAATTTTGTTTAGTTTAAGTTGAAGCACAAAAATTACTAAATGGAAATAAAATAACTAAAAACTAAAACTGAAACAACAAAAAAAAGTATAAATTAACCTTAAATAGTAATAGGATGAAACAGTATAAAAATTGTATAAAAATAAAAGCTAATTCAAAATATTCATAAAAACATTATTTGTGTATAAATAATAGTAAAATAACACAATTTTCTGTACTGGATATCTGTATTTTCATCCAGTTGTACATTCTCTATTTTTCTTGTTTTTTTTTTCCCCTTCATTTTAGATTTTTACACTGTTTTTAAAGAGCAGGTCATATGGGTTTTTGAAAAATATCTCTTTTGCAGTTTATAACGTAGCTGTCCTTAAATGAAAACAATCTGCAAAGTTGTTAATCAAAAAAGTGCATGATAAATAAAGATATTGTCTCTCAAAAGAGAGTCGATTCTGAATCGCTTTAACGAGTCGTCATATTTTCGAATCGTTTGCCTGTTACCGGTATACATCACTGGGTAACACATTTGCATAATCCCCGCCTGCCCGCGAAATACGAACAGAGTCTGATCTGCCCACAAATTCAATTCAATTCAATTCAAGTTTATTTGTACAGCGCTTTTCACGAATCATTGTGAAATTGCTGTTTATTTTGCTGCACCGGCAGTTATAGGGTTAATGCGGGAGAGACGAGCGAGTTAGTTAGGCTGCTGCGCCTGTGATACAGCTGTTCTGCGTTCTGATTAAAAGTTAAGACACTTTTTTTTTTGTCTGTCATTCTTCAAACATTACAGTAGACATATTTTGGTTTACAAACTGTATTGTTTCATCAGTTAGTCACGTTAGCACTCGGCTAACGTATCCACCATTATTTTTTTAAGTGTTACAGTTAAAGCAGCTAAACTTTAGCTGTGGGCACGATTCGCTTGCATAAGTGTTTTTGTATTTTATGTCATTATTATAAGAACGGATTGGAGCACTATATTATTGTTTTATGTAAAGGTGCTTTGTCAATGGTAGCGCTCGCTAACTTGCTCAAGGTCTCCTCTCTGTGCCAATCACAACAGGCTTGGCCAGCTGACCAATCAGAGCAGAGTAGGCTTATGGAAGGGAGGGGTTTGCCCCGAACTTGCTTGGAACGAATCGTTTCGAAATCATTGGCAAATTACTCTAATATTAAATGTATATTCTGAGAAAATGACAATGTTTTCTGACCTTAGATGCATTTAAACCTGTTGTAGAGGACTCTAACACAATATTAGGACACTTTAAAATACCATATGACCTGCTCTTTAATATATGTTTTAATGTACGTTTTAAGGCTGCTTAAAATATTTGCCCATCATGGTAGTATTTGTAGTACAGAATTAAATTTATGCTGATTAAATAAGAAATTGTGTCCAGACAGGATCATTTTACTATTACTGTATTACAGTAATGAGAATGAGAATGAGATTGTTTCACATTAGAGTGGAAAGTGTGTTTTATTCCATAAAAAAAAGAAAAAAAGATTTGCATTTGTCTTTTTAATTATGGGGTGAAAAATTATTTGTAGATTTCTTAATGAAATTCCCCCCACAATATCAATATGTTATATATCAATACTTTAAAATGTCACAGTCTTCATCATGTTTCTGCCCTCACCATTAAGACTCAGACCGCTCAGTCCTTCTTTCTTATCAGAGTTTCAGTCACTGGTACCTTGAAGCAGTTTGATCTCATTGAAGGATGTTTTAGTTTGCAACTATCAAGTTTTCGACAACTATTTGGTATCTGTCTGCTTGGTGCAAGTCTCCTTTATATCTGCAGCATTTACTTGAATGAAGAATAATGTTGCGATCTGTCCTTCCTCTCCAATGTATCAGTGTCCACTATCGATTCTTTCCTGGGAGTCTATTGGTTCTCATTACTTGTCTCCAGTAACTTATCTCAATTGTTTTTCTCTGGCCAGTTCAAAGCTTCTCCCCTTCTGCTTTAACACACACACACACAGGTTTCTCATCCTCTCGTCTGAGGAAACTAAGCTAAGGCAGGGGAGAGATGAAGACATATCCATTCAAAGAGAAATCAGTGATGACAGTGGTTCCCTTTCATGGGAACTTCGAACTGCGTCCTCTAGGGGTTGAAAATAAATTTCAATGTTACATTTTTCTGATGTGATTTGAAATTTGAAAAGGGAGAAAAAAGTTTGCCAAAATGTGGATTCGAACCCGGGTCGATCGTGTCAAAATGAGCAAGTCACACGTTTTACCATCTGCGCCACTGGAGCTGATGACTGTTGGCTGTCTTTTGTGTAATGTTCACTAGCCGAATCACACGTTGGTGGGCGGAGTTCGTGTAAATAGACTCTGCCAACAAGGCGGGCTATTTGCACTTAGTGTAAATAGACACTCCGAAAAAAATCAAGCCATTTCATGTACTCTTGGGGGCCCCCTGGTGGCCACGGGGCCCTAAGCAGCCCCTTAGTTCACTTATGCCTTGGGCCGGCTCTGGGCAAAAATCAAGCTTAAATGGATTAGACTCACTGTTAAAAAAAAAACCTTTTACAACTTAATGCTGCCTTGAAATTTAAGCTTAGTCAAATTGAAATATGAAGTTGGTGAAAACGTCTTAGGTTACTTATGTAACCATGGTTCCCTGAGTAGGGAACGAGACACTGCGTCCTCTAGGTTTTCTCGCCATGCTGCGGATGCAAGCTTCAGACGAAGAAGTGAATGATGTGTAGCTCCCGTCGCCTATTTATACTATAGTCGCACCGGTAGTGACGTCATGGCTGTCGCCAGCCAACAAGTTGGTGTTTTTTCAATGTATGCTTCAGACACGGGTCACGACGAGGCGTTCCCCATAGCGACCCCTAGAGGACGCAGTGTCTCGTTCCCTACTCAGGGAACCATGGTTACATAAGTAACCTGAGACGATTTGCATGGACCAGACCCGGATGCCGACTGATCCATTACGGCAATATTCTCGTTTAACTAACTGCAGTGTCAGACATAGGCGGGAAAGATTGAAAATGCTTTGGATTGTCCGATTATATTTGATTTGTTGCCTCCAAGAGGCTTTCATAGGAGATGAATATTCTTTTGAACATGATCACTTTTATCTCATACAATCTGTCATACCTGACAACATCTCATTTCCCACTTTTATGGTCATTTGTGGCAACACTTTGAGAGTAATTGTCAAAAAATCTGAAATATGTGTCTCTTTAGAGATAGTTCTTTGGAAAACACACCTCACTGACTATTAGATATGCATTAAATAACATTTTTCCCATGAGCCTCTTTGACTTCTTAGAGATTTTGGTTTTGATTATATGAGATTTTTAATAGAATTTGAATTCATTCATTATAGTTTTGCAGCATGAATTTTTGTTAATATTTTCTTAATCTAATGAAGGTGGATTTGTTTAAGTAAATTAAGTTCCTTTGGATCAGATTCCCTTTTTTTGTTAAATGACCAAATTATAATGATTTTTTGCCATGCCAACATTTTGAGCTTGTTTTCACTGTTCTCGGTTAAAGCTCCTGGGTTCTTACAGACAAACTAAGATGATTAGCACAATCACTTTTAATTGATGAGACAGATTTCTGGCAATTCCAAAGATCTCAGGTAGAAAAGGAGAATTTCAGTGACCCTTTTACCATCTGAATTATAAGGGGAATGCAGGGGCGTAGCCATCATTTCAGAAGTGAGGGGGACAGAAATGTTATATATATATAAAAAAATAAATTAAAAAAATTATATATATATATATATATATATATA